CCAGCCCTGTGCAGAGGCTGGAGCCATGGCAGGGTGTCCATCCATCCTTCCATCCACATGGAACCACATTCCCTGGAGGAGTGTTAGGAAAAAGGCCAGCAATGGGTGGATGGGTCACTCCGTAACAAGCTCCTGGGTGTTTCCAATAGCTGCAGCTACAAATATAGAGAGAATTTGTGTTCTTTTCCTCTTTTCAATGCAACGCATCGAGTTTAATGTATTTCTTTTCGGCTGTTGTCCCCTCCCTGTGGATAAAATGAGATTGGGAAAGCGGTGGGAGGGGAAAGGGGGGGATCAACACAAGAACAAGATTGAAAGCCGGGCTGGGGCCGGAGCTGGGTGCTGGGTGCACCCAGGGGGAAGGTTGGATTCTGCATCGAGTGGTGGCGGCGGCGTGTCCTTTTAACTGCTGCTTTCCTCCTCTGTCTTATTGAGTTTCTTCAGCGTATCCAGCAGTTTCTGTGGGGTGAGGATGTGTGTGGACCCTGCGGGGTAGAAGAGATGAAGGGGGAGCATCAGTGATGGCTCTGGGATGCCCCGCTGGTGCCCCGGTTGATGTCCCCGCTGTCCCCAGTCCCCTCCCCCCGAGGCCTTACCTGGTGGCCACAGCCCCGCACGCCAGTGGAAATGCTTGCGAGGAAATGTACGTCTTGGGAGGGGGTATAATGGGAAAGGAATGGAAAAGGAGAAATGGAAGAGGTGTATGGAGCAGGGTAGGATGAGGCAGGGGCTGGGGGTGACTGTGCAGCAGGGTTATGGTCAGTGGGGACACTCCTGGACACTTTGGGGATGCCAAAAAGCCACAGAGATGGAGGCAGGCAGCATGTAGGAACCTTCTTCAGCCCCCAGGCTCTTCCCCTGCCTGCACAGAGCATTCTTGGGTCAAAGGGGTGGCTGGGAAGGGAATGGGTGGACGAGGAGGAGGAAAAGGGCTCTTGCCTTCTGCTGCCCTTGCAGCCTGTCTGGATCTGTGCACACCAGCACATGGCTCATGGGAATGCCATGATGGGCCTCACTGGCAACCTTGGAAAAGGGACCACAGGAGCAAACCTGAACTTTCCCATCTACTCAGGACTTCAGCCCATTCACACCCTGGAGCTGGGGGGGATCATGGCAGCACCCAGTCGTTGCTGGAAGGG